CAAAGATGGACATGATAAAGGACAAAAATGGTAGGAACCTCACAGAAGCAGAAGACATCAAGAAGAGGTGGCAAGAATACACAGAGGAATTATACCAGAAAGATCTGGATGTCCTGGACAACCCAGATAGTATGGTTGCTGACCTTGAGCCAGACATCCTGGAGAGTGAAGTCAAGTGGGCAGCCTATGGCTCACGTGCCAGAAGAAAGGGCTCCACATGCCAGCTGTGCCACGTGTGCCATAAGTTCGCCATCACTGGACTATGCAAAAGCCTTTGACTGTGTGGACCACAATAAACTATGGCAAGTCCTTAAAGAAATGGGAGTGCCTGACCACCTTATCTATCTCCTGAGAAATCTATATGTGGGACAGGAAGCAACAGTTAGAACTGGATATGGAACAACTGATTGGTTCAAAATTGGGAAAGGAGTATGAAAAGGCTGTACATTGCCTCTCTGCTTTAAGAACCTCTTAATGAGGGTGAAAGAGGAGAGTGCAAAAAATGGTCTGAACCTCAACATCAAAAAAAAAAAAATCAAAAAAAAAAAAAAACCAAGATCATGGCCACTGGCCCCATCACCTCCTGGCAAATAGAAGGGGAAGATCTGGAGGCAGTGACAGATTTTACTTTTTTGGGCTCCCTGATCACTGCAGTTGGTGACAGCATCCACGAAATCAAAAGATGTCTGCTTCTTGGGAGGAAAGCGACGACAAACCTAGAAAGAATCTTAAAAACAGAGACATCACTTTGCCGACAAAGGTCCGCATAGTCAAAGCTATGGATTTTCCAGTAGCGATGTATGGAAATGAGAGCTGGACCATAAAGAAGGCTGACCGCCGAAGAATTGATGCTTTTGAACTGTGGCGCTGGTGACTCTTGAGAGTCTGGACTGCAGAGAGAACAAACCTATCCCTTTTGAAGGAAATCAACCCTGCGTGCTCACTGGACGGACAGATCCTGAAGCTGAGGCTCCAATACTTTGGCTATCTCATGAGAAGAGAAGACTCCCTGGAAACGACACTGATGTTGAGAAAGTGTGAAGGCAAGAGGAGAAGGGGACGACAGCGGACAAAATGTTTGGACAGCGTCTTCGAAACAACCAACATGAATTTGACTAAACTCCGGGAGGCAGTGGAAGACAGGAGGGCCTGGCGTGCTCTGGTTTATGGGGTCACAAAGAGTCAGACACAACTTAGCGATTAAACAACAACAACAACCATTTACAGCTTTATATGGAGACAGTCCCTTTAGACTAATGCTGCACATATAAAAATGCTGATGAGATATAGGCTAGCTTAACCCTCTGCCTCAGCAACTGTGGTTGAGAAACATACTCTCTCTCACCGTGGAAGTAGCACAAAGTCATCATGAGAAGTAGCCATAATATTTTCTACTATGAATTTATCCTATGCCCTTTTTAAAATATCTAAACTACTGTCCAAAATTATATTTGTGGCTGTGAATTCCATGGGTTAACTCTCTGCTGCATAAAGAAGAATGGTCTT